GTAAATTAGCATATAGACGCTGAATTTAGGTCGCAGCCGCTGATTTTTTCGGCGTTCAATTTTTATTGACGCGAGAACGCAGCGTCTAGACGCAGACGCAGACGCAGGAACAGCGTCAATGAAACGAACAAAAATTTTTTAAAACATTGCCGCAGACGCAGCCGCAGGTAGCTGCGTCAACGAAACGAACAGCACTAATGTCATTTAGCTGAGTGTACACTGCATCCACGAAACGTTGCGTTTCAATAAGAGGCTTGTCCATGGCTTCCTTCAGCTCCATTAGAGTTGAGCAATACGCTTCCTACGTGAATAATTAATTTTATATATTATTGTTTTCTTCGAAAAAAGTCAATTAAATATGGGTGAAAAATTAAGAAACGTGCATAAAAAGCATGTGAAAAATGTTATTTTTGTTGTGAAATATATATATTGAGAAAAAAGGAGAAGAATACCATGAATTGATCAAGTTCTGGAGAGGTGGTGGCTTCGAGGGAAGAATCAGAGTGGAGAGAGAGTTTGGTTAGGTCAAGATCATCCTGCGGATTCATAATCTCTGGTAAGTCAAAGTCGTCGGAACACACCTGTTGTAGTGGATCCAAATATGTTAGAGACTGAATTAATTATAAAAGAAACAAAACAAAATATTTTAAGAAAAGATATATAGAGAGAGGACCTTTAAACATTTGAGATGTGACTGAAGAAGAAGCCCATACAGAGGGTGGTTTGATATTCTCTTCTTAAGAACCTCTTCTTCTTGTTTTGTAATTTGATCAATATCTTGTTTCATGTTTGCAAAGAAATTGTTCTCATCTTTCTTCCCCTCCATGTTTCAATAGTATATAACACAAACTCTACAAGGACACACAATATATATATAGAGTAGATAGACGTGTAATCTAAATGGGATGCTAGGGTTTTAAGATGACTTTTTGGTTTGTTTCTCGGTCTATGAGAGCATGTTTAATAAGAGATTCTTATAATGGGGTTATTGGCTGAATATATGAACTCGTCTCTTAATTATTAATTAAAAAATTAAGAATCCGCTCTTAAATAAAATATTTAAAAACTGGTTTTTATATTTTTTAATTAAAAATTAAGAACAGTTTCTTATATTCCGTTAAGAACTCGTTCTGATACTCTTTACCGTTACAGAAATTTATTGTACATATATATTATCTGATAGCATTAGTCATTGGTCAATGGTAACACTAAGGTCTACATGTCACACATGCATTGACATATATGATATATCATATTCTTAAGCTGTTGTTATTTTACGGATTATCCAAAACAAAACTATACGGGGATATTATCTATTAAGTAAAATATTCACATATTAACTGTCACTTTTTATATATATGAAGATAGTTATAGTAAGTAATTAAACAAGAAAATACATAAAGGATGAGAAACAAAAAGGAGAGGGAGAGTGGAGGAACAGTGGAAGCAGAAAAGATTAAGAAGAAAAAAGGGTGAAGCATTATTTAGTTATTGCTTACGAAAGCACTTTGAGCCAGACTGTCGATAAATAGAATCATGCACAAGTCTCATTGCTTCCATTTTTGTTTCCATCATTTTTTTCTCCAATATTTCAATTTGACAAATAATATTTGCTATATATTGAGTCCGGGTTTATAAGTAAGTCTACTTTTAAAACGAAAGGAATTTTTAAAATGTTTGTACATTTTATTTTATTTGCTTGTAACTTTAAAATGCAGTTTAAAAAACCTGCAGACAAATAGCTTGTCTACAAACGATTATATATATAGTTAGTTTATTTGATAAACATGAAAAACTATGGATTATCTCTCTAAATCCATGCATCTACATATTATAAGCTTATGAGTTATGACTACTATATAATGACTGATTTGAAATTTACAATAATATATACATATACATTGATGATTATCTGGTGTGCTTTCGTATACTAATGATAGAAACAATAGAAGAGTCACATACTTAACGAAATGTGGATCAGGTTTGAGGTCTTGATACAAGAAAATGTTCTTTACCAAAATAAAAAGATAGGATTGAAGGGTGTCTTGGTAGTAACCCGATGATCCAAGAGTGATTTATTTGGTGATAGAGTGGGATTAATCTTTACACATTAAAAAGATATAAATGAAGGTTGTCTTGATGATAGTAATCCGATGATCCAGGAGTGGTTTAGTTGGTGAGATAGTGGGATTGATCTTAACTCATTAAAAGTTGTATTTTTGTAAAATCTTGAATATTGGAGGAGAGAGAGAGCATCGAAGCTGGAAAGAGAAAAGAGAATCAGAAGAGTAAACAGTGAGAATATCATAAATAGGAATAGAACTGTTGTATCAATGGGACAGTTCCATTTTTGATGAGTTATGTATTTGCCAGTTTCGGTGCCCCAAAACCCTATTATTGATCTCTGGATAACGACCTTTCGTACTATCCACTTTCTTCTTTTCTTCAAACACATGTAATGAAAGAAGTAAATTCACTCGTCTCCAACTATCACAACTATACAAGTATACAACCTAACGGCCCCTCATTTATTGCCTCTTGAATCTTGATCAAAGCTGAAAACCAAAATTAATATCCTATTTTTGTTGTTAAAAAGGCTACTTCATTTGTAGTGGGCTACGCTCCGAAACACTAATGCTCTGGCTGTGGGTTGTATCTTTTTTCCTTATTCATTTAATCCAAGAAACGTTTTAAAAATACGCTACTTCATTGTTTGGTAAATACATTGGCATGGGCATAAGTCGATACTTGGCATTTTTACCCTACCTACTACTTGGGTTATTTTGTTTAAGTAATATAATTTTTGACTTGTACTTGTATTTGTTCCGGTCAAGTATTTAGTCAGTCAAATACATGTCTATATTTAAAATACTTGCAAATTATTTATTAATACTTAACATTTGTTTATTTAAATATGTACCAAAATACAGTTAAACTCAAAATAAATATTTTTATTTTCATTACTATTCTATTTAATATGTTCAAATAATTTGATTTATTGTGTGAAAATGACGTATTTGAAATAAGACACATTACACCGAATACATAAAAACTAATATTTTTATTTTATTAAAATGTCACTAGTAAGACAAGTATTTTAATAGGTAAAATATTTTTTTTTAACTAATAACAAGTAATAAAACAAATAATCATATCTAATATTATAAAAAATTGTGATATTTGACTTGTATTTATAAATAATAAAATTTTCAGATTTATTGTTTGACTTGACGTGACAATACCAATTTTTTTTTTTAAAGTTGGATATGAGTCAAAAACAATCAAGATAGCTATGAGGCAATCAAATATCTGTACGTAGGCCTCAGGTTTCTTGAATTAAGCTGAAGGCTACAATCTACATACAAAGTACTTCTAATGATGACCCCCAAAACGTCATATTAATACACAAAAAGATAGCTATGAGGCAATCCTTGATATTTTAATAACTGGAAAATATATTAGAGATTCATATTTGTGTGGATGTTTTTAGCAGACATGGAAGAATACTAGTGTATAACTAAACTTAATACAAACGAAGACTTTGTTTATTAATTCTAATAACTGTTTTAGGGGTCATAGACAAGTCATGCTGAGAGAGACGTGACCAGAGTAATGATAGCCCATCCCATGTTCATCAAATCTGAAGCACAAGTAATGATAGCTCCCAACATACACATTACGAATTTGGCAACGCATTCGTATTCGATACACCAGAGCGATTAATTGGGCCGTTTAGGCCTTGCTTGTTAAGTTAAATTACAATAAATATTATTATATGAAAAGGCCTGACCCATTAGTTGGAATCTTTCTGCATATGAACCTAAAACAATAAAACGAACAGCGAAAGACGCGTAGCGAAAGCTGGCGTTCACACAGACGCTACACGTAAAATTAGATCATGATAGTGATCAAATCATCAATCTTTAGTGATAAACAGTTGTACCTTTTTGTTTTGTCAATTGTATGTGTCCGTACCTTAAAACAAACCACCAAACCCCATTGTCACTCAACCACTTATTAAAATGGTATACACATAACCAATTGTTATCGAGGAGAGAGGTAAGTAATGTGATTTTGTTTTTGGCTTTATAATACCGACATAATAACATGTATACCTTCTGCGTGTACGTGAATCTGTATAGTCACATCAGATTAATGGTGCGTGTGTGAATCTGTATAGTCTTCACAAGTAAGAAGAATAAAAGGCAACTTCTTGTGTTTATAAAAGCCCTTTTTCAAACAAAAAAAAACTTCTTGTGTGTTTATCTGTAGATGCTTTAATTACGTAAGAAAGCGACGTAGGACATTGCTATCCTATTTCATAAAAAATCAGTCAAACAAGTTTTGAAATAGAGTCAGGTAACATGTTCATATTACATTCAGTGTTATCACTAGCATTGGGATACTGGTACGGGTTAACTGACCGTGCAGGCTACTTCCCCCCTGAACGAATAGAATTATATAATATTCACAGTTGAGATAAATGGTTATTGCGTTTAAGTTCGATTTACCATTATTCATTACAGAACTGGAACTTAACACATAAACGGAATATCTAAGGGAGAAAATGGCAAATACTATAAAATAGAGAAGAAAAACTTATTTTATTAGTTTTAAAGCTCATATGCAAATTGTTAAATGTAATCGAAGAAAAACCGATATAGGTTTGACCACGTATAGGACATTGGAAACTTTCTTGTTCTTCTTGAGACGCGGGTTATATGGTCAACTCAAAGCTTACAACAAAGCAATTTAATTTTGATATCTAAAATTGCTAAAACTAGATCAAATTTAAATAAATGCATGAACTGCATTAAGAATATAACTTCGTATGTTTGATTCCCATGATTTAATATAATCAAATAAAGAGCGAAATTGGTAAAATATCGTAACTTTACTAATCAGGATCTCTGGATTATCTGCTAATACATTTTAGTCAACATAACATATATCAGAATCGTTATAACTCTTAAATTTTATTTTGCCATCATATATTTTACTAAAGATAGATAATAACATTTACATGCTCAATTATTATTTTGAATCTGTATTTAGTGTATATGCGGCCTTCAAAATAAATCTGATTGCTCTTAGTGATGTCTTGACCATATTTAAGCACTGATCAGTTCTAGCTTTATTTGTTTTCCAAGATAACCTATCAAGATATTCCTTTCACTCAGCAAAATTTCCCTGCATAACATTAGTATACCATAAATATATATAGCATAATCATAATTCCCATCAGCAGATTGACGAAGATGATTGAGTCCTTTAAGGAATCTGCGATTCTGGAAGTATTGAAGTAATCCTTCGACGTAGTGGGCCTTTGAATTACCAGTATTCAAGCATTAATTTTTGAAATGTTTATAAGAATGTAACATCGTAAGTGGCTTTTCCACAAAAAACTGAAGGTCAAGATTCTTGAAATATGTTGTTGGATCAGTACTCAGGGGGTTTCCTTCACAGCTACCAATACTTTCGTCAGAGTTATAATTGGATTCTGAATTTTCCGAATCCATTTGTTTTTATTAGTTAATGGTATTGGAATCTGATAAGTGAATTATCTTAATGAGGTAGCCTTATATATTCTCAAAGAAATATGTATTGAAGTATAAACGTATTTGATAACATAATTTAAACTTAAAACATAATACCTACCATTAACTTAGAAACAAAACTGTCTCCAAAGAAAACCTTCGTAGAAAATTAATTTATTTTTCATAAATGGATGGCATGTAACTTCAATTTAAACAAAAGAAAAACATCAGAATTAATACAAATTTAAAACAAAAACCATTGTTTGCATGTAACTTAAAATACAATAACCATATATATACTTTCATATACACAATGTATTACTACATCGTACCAATACACCTTTTTCACATAAGCATGGATCCAGACCAAGATTATGCTCTTTCGTTCGAATCCGAAACCCATCTCGCAAATTCGGAAGCAACAAGAACTATTACGATCAATATAAACCGTTGTCATAAGAATGAGGACATCATTTCCATATCCCTTCAGTTTTCAACTAATGATGTTGGATCTCTTTCTGATTCGACCTTCACGATCATGCAATATATGCTCACATGTCACGACATTAGCAATTACTCTTCTTTGAGAATCACTGAGAAGACCTCTACATACGTATACAAAACTGTTACATCCCTCAACAGCTATGAAGACACTAATGTACACATTATATTACATTTAACTGATTTTAATCCTCCTTCGGTTCACCAAATGGCTGTACGCAGGGCTACATCTGTTCTCCAATCTGCAAGGACAGTGCAGACACCAAATGATGAATATGAACGGTGCATTATATGTATGGACATAATTAATGAAACCCAACTTATGAATGCATTGCAATGTACTCATATTTATCATCACCAATGCATTACTGATTGGATCAAGATGAATATAAGTTGTCCTTTATGCAGAGAGACTATCCCATAAATGACATGTTACCGAGATTGAAGACGATAACATCATGGATTTTTATGTTTTCTTTTACTTATATTTACCATTATGAGATCCATTCTTTCGATATATATAATTAAACCTACCTCTTCAATAAACAAGTAAAAATTACACATTAACAAAAAATAATGGAATTAATACGCCTCAGTAAAATATGAAATTTTAGACTTTTTTTTTGTTCTTTCTCCACATAAAGAAATGACTACAAATAACCAACAAAATTATCCAAAATCAAACAGATTCAAATAGCCTGAAGCCATTTTCAAAACCAAATTCACAAGTTTAGTTAAATTGTGTATCCTACAAAGAGCTCAAAATTTAAAACTGGTGGAAAATTGAAAGTATTCATCTTTGACCAAAAAAACTTATAACAAACTGTTACTTCCACCTTCTTACTTGCACAAGTAGCTTATCTTATGATTCTTTAGTTCCCTTGATATATATATAAAAGAAATTATATTTTAAATAAATGGTCTAATAAATCAAACAAAAATACAGTAATATTCTCTAGATAAAAAAATAATAATATATAAGAAAGTCAAGAGTACAAAAATATTCCAAAAATTCATGAGTAATTATATTTTACATAATCTAATAAAAATCTAAATTTAGGTAGAGATATATTGTTTATGAGAATGTCTTTCTTTAAACAAAAAACAACAACAAAAAACACAAGGAATATAATAACTAGCATTGTATACATGTCATACAATATAGACAACAAATAAAAACGAAAACATGTTAGAAATGTAAGCAAATGTGATATTCAGCATCCTCCTAACACTAGCATTATTAATGATCCTCCTTTTAGTGGTTTTGACTTTTGAGCTTAAAACATAATTCCTCACTCTTCATCACAAGTATACAGATTTTAGTAAATTTTTCAGCTGGAACATACATATACTAAGGTCCTCCAACCTATGATATTATTTTATTGTCAAAGTTATATTATTTAGTGTGATTTTAGCACAAAATATTTTTGTTTGTCCAACCACAACACGAAATATTACACTAAAAAGGAGAATTCTTATTATTAAAAATATTAACTAATATCAATTTAAATAATAGTGGTATTTGAATCTGATAAGTGAAATATTTTAATGAATGTAACCTTATATAGTCTCAAAAAGTAATGTATTAAAAGAAAAAAGTATTTGATAAAAGAATTTAAGATTATAACATACTACCTAACATTAAATTAAGAACAAAATTGACTTCAAACAAAAACCTTTGTAGAAACATTAATATTTATTCATAAATTGTTGGCATGTAACTTCCATAGAAAAAAAAATAAAACATCAGAATAAATACACAGGATAACCTATCAAGATATTTTTTTCCCGCACCAAAATTTACCCTGCATAACATTAGTATACCATAAATATATATACTGTAATCATAGTTTCCATCAGCTGATTGACGGAGATGGTTGAGTCTTCTAAGAGATATGCCGTGCTGGAAGTATTGAAGCAACCCTTCAACATAGTGGGCCTTTGGATTACCAGTAGACAAACATTCATTTTTAAAAGTTATGTAACAATGTAACATCGCAAGTGGCTCTTCCACAAAAAAAATTGGAGGTTGAGGTTCTTGAAATAGATAGTTGGGTTTGTGTCTCGAGGGTTTCCTTTAGAGCTACCAGTACTTTCGTCTGAGTTATAATTGGATTCTGAATTATCCGACCCCATTTGGTTCCTTTTTTTAGTGGTACTGGAATCTGGTGAATGAATTATGTTTGTGATTGTAGGCTTATATACTATATGTATGCCATTAGTTAAGAAAGATGTATTAAAAAAAGAAATGTATTTGATAAAAAAATTAAAATTTAAACATATTACCCACACTAAATTAAGAAATATTGACTCAAAAAAAAACGTCCCTAGGAACAATAATAGTTAATTTTAAATTAGCTTAACAATTTTCATAGATAAAAATCAATACATCATAATAATTACACGTTTCAAACTGAAGACATTGCCCACATGTAACTCCAAATGTCTAAGTCTAACCATATAAGTACCTTAATATATTATGCTCTTTCATTTGAATCCGAAACACATCATGCAACTTCAGAGGCAACAAGAGCTCTCACGATCAATATAAAACGATGTCATACAAATGAAAAGATCATTTCCATTCCCCTTGAATTTTCAACTACTGCTGTTGGATCTCTTACTGATTCAACCTTTACCATCATGCAATATATGTTCACATGCCACGACATCAGCACTTACTCATCCCTAACAATCGATGAAAAAACATCTTCATATGTATACAAAACTATTTCGTCCCTCGCCAGATATGAAGATATTATATTGCATTTAACTGATTTTAATCCTCCTTCAGTTTATAGGATGGACGTTCACAGAGCTACATCAATTCTCCAATCTGCGAGGACATTGCAATCAACAAAAGATAAATATGAACAGTGTACCATATGCATGGACATAATTGTAGAAGGCCAAATTATGAATGCATTGCAATGTACTCATATCTATCATCACCAATGCATTACTGACTGGATCAAAATAAACGTAAGTTGTCATGTATGCAAAGAGACAATCTCCTAAATGACATCTTTCCGAACACGAGGAAAAAAACGTTATGGATTTATATATTTTCTTTTACTCATATTTACCATGTTTTTCTTAGTAATAAATTGTCTTCAATATTATGAAATCCATTTCTTTAAGTTATATAATTAAAATTATCTCTTTTAGAAATAAGTAAATATTACAGATTAACAAAAAATATGAATTTCAAAAAAACATCTTCCAATCCTGCGCGTAGCGTGACCCCTCCCCCCTCCCCCACTAGTTAAGAAATATACACTTCCTATGTTTGATTCCCAAGATTTAGTGCAATCAAATAAAGAGCTAAATTGGTAAAATATCGTAACTTTACTAATCAGGGATCGCTGGATTAGCTGCTAATAATCTTAGGCTTTAACTGGTGACCAAAGGAATGTGTGGGAATAGTTAATTCCTCTTTATTCCTTAAATTTGACACCATTTATAAGGAATCATAATAGTTAATTTCTCTCCATTCCTTAAATTTGCACCATTTATAAGGAATAATTTTTCTTCAATATTCCTTCTCATTCCTTTTAATTTAAGGAATCAAAGAACAAAACTATTCCTTATCAAATCCGGGGAGGAACAATATGGAACAAATGTTCCTATTATTTTGTTCCTCTTCATTCCTTTCCTCGTTGTTCCTATTATTCCTTTGGTGGTCACCAGTCAAAGCCTTACATTTCAGTCAATATAACGCATACCAGAATCATTATAATTTATTATAAAAATATACCGGTGCAACTAATCTATTTACTTGTTCTTCCGTAGACTTCGTAAACGGCGCTGTTAATCATCATTTTAATAATTTAATCAGAGCATCACGTTCATAATTAAGTTGATGATTAATCAACATTACTAGCTATCAAACATTATTTTAGTTTTTGTCTCTATCTATATATGTATGTTCCTTCTTTCCACAAAAGACTCGCTGCTTCAACTACCAGAGGAAACAGAGATGAACGGAGGCGGCGGTGGCGACGATGTGGTAGAAACGGTGGTTAAGAGTCTTGGCAAAGGGTTCGATATAACGACGGATTTCCGGTTAAAATACTGCAAAGACGGAGACGGTGGAGATGACAGACTTGTTGTCCTTGACGAAACTCAAAACAGAGAACTTCATGTTCCTGGTTTCGGGGCTTTTCTTAATGTCTCCGCCGACATCAACTGCGACAAAGGAGAACGTACTCGGTTTCGTTCCGACATTCTTGACTTCAACAAGGTCCACTTCAATTAAATAATTTATTCCTTTAATATAATAATAACCAAACCTTCAGTTGTTTATAATATATGTTTATTTGTGTGTGTGTGGTGTTTTGCAAATCAGATGTCGGAGTATTTTAATAAGAGATCGTTGGTGACCGGAAAAATACCGTCGGGAAATTTCAACGCGACGTTCGGGTTTCAAAACGGGTCATGGGCCACTGACGCCGCAAACGTCAAATCTTTAGGTCTTGACGCTTCTATCGTAACGCTATTTAATCTACACATCCATAATCCCAATCGTTTGCGTCTCACTGATCGCGTTCGAAACGCTGTTCCGTCTTCATGGGACCCGCAGTTACTTGCCAGGTATTAATGAATTACTTGTGTGGCATTACATTACAAGCACAAACGTATTATCATAAGAGTTTTTTCAAACTCGCCAATTCTTTGACTAATTTTATGTTATCAATTAATAATGTGGAATATTTCTGTATTTCTCCAATATTTTTTCAACTTAAAACACAATATCATTTGTCAACGTTTTCAAGTAAGAACGTACTGAAAAATCAGGAAGAAACTTGATTTCTTCTAGACACTTTTTAATTGAACCTGAGTTAGCAAAATAATATAAACTGTGAATAACAGTAAACTGAGAACTGAATGTTATTTGCAAAGACTTTGAAAAAATAATGTAAACCCTGAACCACCAAACCTGGTTTTATATTGTTTTGTACAACACGTAAAATTTTGTCAGTATTATCGTAATAATAAAAAATTGAACATTTTAAATGGACAGGTTTATAGAGAAATATGGAACACACATAATAACTGGGGTGAGTGTAGGAGGACAAGACATGGTTGTTGTGAGACAAGACACGTCCTCCGATCTTGACACCGACCTCCTCCGTCACCATCTCCACGATCTCGGCGACCAACTGTTCACCGGATCTTGTCTTCTTTCTTCACACCGGCCCAATAAGGCCAATCACCACTCACAATCTCAGCCCAAGGTCAGCTCAGTTTAACTTAAGTTTGATAAAGCACAAGACATTACTTTTGTGTTCACTATTAGAGTTTGGTGTTGCAGCTTCCGGAGGCGTTTAACGTATTCGATGACAAACAAACAGTTGCTTTCAATAATTATTCTATAAACTCCAAAAACGTAAGTAGGTTTCATAGAATCTAAACAACAAATTGTAAAATGTAACATTTTCATAACTAGAAATGTAATTTACATTTTCAGGGGATAACGGTTATATGCGCGAAGAGAGGAGGTGATGGACGAGCAGGGAGCCATAGCGAATGGCTAATAACAGTCCCAGACAAGCCAGACGTGATCAATTTCAACTTTATTCCGATCACATCACTACTCAAAGACATCCCTGGATGTGGTCTTTTGTTTCATGCGATGACTCTCTACCTTAGATGTAACTTCTTCACCTTATCTACTCTAACCTTAATAAGTTGACTATTGAAGAGAGTAGTATGGTCAATAGTTGAAGGTGTTAATTTGGTAATTTTGAACAGACAAGCCGCCATTGATGGACCTACAGTACTTTTTGGAGTTTTCTGGGCCTAGAACGTGGGCTCCTATTCATAACGACCTTCCGTTTGGAGCAGCGCCAAATATGGCTTCGGCGTATCCCTCACTTCACATCAACTTCTTGGGTCCAAAACTATACGTTAATACCACTCCTGTACGTTTCGATAGATATACATCTCTAATTCTTGCTTGCATTTTTTATTTCCTTCTCAGTGTCACTTATACTTACATGTAATTAAACGTATTAATACGTTTTACTAATTGTTGATTTTTTTTGTTTTGGGTGTTAGGTGACTAGTGAGAAGAACCCAGTAACAGGAATGCGATTCTTCCTCGAAGGCAAGAAATGCAATAGGTAAAAGTCAACCAAAGCAAACTACAATTGGTTATAAGATCTATAGAGCTAGGGATGGAAATAATATGGCTCTAAGCTAAACATACATTAGGCAGAGAAGGGACTAACATAACACTTTGCTAATGCTAGTAAGAAGTTATAGCTTAACCGTCTAGTAGGATAAAAAAATAATAATATGAAATTTCTTAGATAGTACAATAAAATTATAACAATATAATAGCATACAAAAATCCTCAAAATAATATCAATTAAAGGATATTAAACATTAAATTTCTTCAAACCTGAAACCAATATTTTTAACCCCGCCTTTTAAATAATAAATTTTAAATTCTAACACCAAACTCAAACAAAAATATTATTTTTAATTATTCTTTTTATCTAAAGAATTTTTCATTTGTGTGCAACTTTGTAAAAAAAAATGTGTCGAGTGTTGTCCTATGCTTTCTCTTTCATAATTTGTGTACTAATACGCTTTTTAACAAGGTTTATCTATATACATAGCTATAAATGTAAAAAAAAATTAACGAATTTTCTGTACATCAGGTTGGCTATACACTTGCAACACCTAGAGAATACGAGGACAACGGTTAATGAAAAGATCACCGACGATCATATATGGAGAGGCTCCGACGAAATCTCCGACAGCAACCGTTACTTCGAACCATTAAACGGTAAGAAATTCTCATACGTGTGTACAGCTCCAGTGAAGTATGACCCAAACTGGATCACAACAACAACAACCAACAAAACCTTAAACAACGTCGCTTACATAGTCACCGGAGCTCAGCTTGAAGTGAAGAAACACGGCTCAAAATCAGTTCTCCATCTCCGTATCCGTTTCACTGCAGTTTCTGATCACTACGTCGCTCAGAAAGAGTGGGTTCATGGACCAGGAACTTCCAAAAAATCTGGTATCTTCTCTACCATGAGCGTACCGTTGACTAGTGGTAATGTTCATCATAAAATGGTTGATAACAGAGACCAAAACGAGGTCGTTTTGGATTCTGGTGTCTTCCCTAGAGGACCTCCCGTGCCGGCTAATAACAAGATAGTGAAGTTTGTGGATCTTTCGCAGTTGTGTAGAGGACCTCAACATAGTCCTGGTCATTGGTTGGTTACTGGAGTTAGGCTTTATTTAGAGAAAGGGAAGCTTAACTTGAAGGTCAAGTTTGCTCTGTTACATCGCAAACGCCTTCTTGTCTCTTCTTGAAAAAATAGCAGTATTTTTTATTGTCTACAATAACTTTTTTTAGAAAACATTTATTGATTTATTCAGAGTTGAGTTCATGATTGAAAAGTAACAAATTTGATCAAATGAGGAAACAGAAGAACTCTTAAAAAACAAAAAATGAAACAAGTTCGTGGCTCAATAAGCATTTGAAATCAGAGAAGCATTTCAGCGATCTGAACAGCATTTAGAGCAGCTCCTTTGCGTATTTGATCTCCACAAACAAATATGTCCAGCCTGAAAATTTCACAAAGTTATTATTAACCAAATGAAAAAAACACATTTGGTTGGTCCTAGTTCAAGACAAAAGAGTGTGTGAAACTTTTACTTACCCGAAATTGCCATCTTGAGAGACGTCTCGCCTGATCCTACCAACAGCGACATCGTCTTTGTTGGAGACATCAAGTGGAGTAGGGAAGGTGTTAGATGAGCGGTCGTCTATAATATAAACTCCAGGTGCTTTCTTCAACAGCTCCCTTGCTGTGTTCTGTTATTTGTCACGTAAGAGCAATCACAAAACTTATTTATCTCCAACCTCTAAACATATGCAAGCAAACAAATCTAAGTCCAAAAATCAACTTAAGGGTGGTTTAACTCGATTTACTAGGGGTATATATGATTAAAGTTGACATTCATTAGGAAACTAAAAGCAACCAATGTTTCAAGAACTACTAATAAATATTTAGTAGAAAATGTGTATTATTATTATCAGTACCTCATCGAGGGGATTCTCAAACTGGAGATTCACACTCTCTGCATGAGCACGCATAACCGGAACACGTATACACGTCGCTGTCACTTTCACTTCTGTGTCATTCTGTGAGGAGCAAAAAATATGTAAAAGACAGCTCTTAACACAACCAAACTTCGAACAGAGGATAACACTGAACTGAATATACAAAAATAGCTCTTTACGTAAACACTCACCCAGATCTTCCTTGTCTCTTTGACAAGTTTCATCTCCTCTTCATTGTAACCATTCTCAGTAACAGGAGCGTTATGAGAAAACAAGTTAAACGCATACTGTACAAAACATAACAAAAACCATCAAATCACTCAAAAAAGGAAAGAATCAGAACAGTCAAAAAATTAAACTATAAGCAAAATGAGTATTCACCTGCTGATCAAAGATGTTACAAGTCGGCGGTTTACCAGCTAAAACCTAAAGAAGAAGCAGAATCTTTACTCAGCACAGTAAAGTCAATACCAATACTTAAGAAAAACAAAACAAAACCTCGCGAGTCTGTTGCAGCAGCTCTTCCATAGCTGCAGCACCTGCACCACTAGCTGCTTGATAAGTACTAACCACCATCCTCTTCACCTGTTACTTACCAAACCAATTCAAACATTACTCAAACCACACACACAAATAAAAAAACACAACACTTTACCAAAAAAAAAAAAAAAAAAAAAAACTT